TCTGAGAGTTCAAGGCTGGGAAGGCTTTTGTACCTTCTCACCCAAACTTGCATTGAGGCTTGTGGTGCCCTGCTGCCACTTTGCCTGCTTGTACATGGAAGAGTTGCATTTATGGTTTTAGGCTGAACATCTATTCCTTTCTGAGGGCACCTTTTGCATTTATTTTTAAGTGTGACTGCACAGCCTTTATTGAAAGGAGAATATAGGAGTCGGAAATGGGACATCAATTTTGGCTAGGCTATGTGGGTAAGAATATGAAATAGAATGTACACAGGATATTTGCTTTTTAAAAATTATACATGATTAAGCTTGATTTTAAGGGTAACATTTATTTTACCTTCTTCTAGATTTCCAAGACTAAAAGATGACAAATCTGAATGGAACACAAAAGATCCCTGTGGAATAGATTAAGGAGTGTTAGTACACTTAGGAAGAAAATTGCTGTAGCATGGGTGACACATGACCCAGGTAACTGAGATGCTGCAGCTGCTGATGGCACATGACAGCACCATTTCACCAATATCTTGCAGTGACCACTTTCTTCCTTTTAACTCCTCTGGGTGTGATGAGCAGCATGGCCAAGACCATCTATCACTCTGCAGACTTTTTCATAGCCCCTCCGTTTCCTGGCTGGATTATTTATGTAACATTATTCAGCATGGGAAAGACCAGCTGTTAGGGTTTTAGAACCAGGAATAAGAACACATTTTTATTAGCTCTTTCATCTTGTCTTCAGTGTTTTTCTTGGTTTAAATAACGATAGCAGCATGCTAGTCCCTCCACTGTAACTCTGTGTGCTTTTGGAGGGCAGAATGTTCTTTTCATAGTTCTGGAGTTACAGGAGACATATCACAATAGATATGAATTCAGCATGTGGGATTGCCTAACCATGTGTGAGGTTGAATTCCCACACCTGCGTGGGAGATGTAGAACTAAAACAACAGATCTAGTTTTCAGACTGCTGATGGATAACACAAGGGAGGCAACAATTTAATATTAGAAGATTTGAGATAAAAGTGGTACTCTAAGAGTTGTAATATGTCAACTTGGTTAAGCAATGTTTCTACAATTGCCTTCCCTACAAATCTCATGCTAGCATGGAACACAGCAGAGTGTGAAATATGTTTGGCATGATGAAGTAGTATATGCACAACATCACAGATCTTACGTATATCAGGAAACACCTGAGGCTACTATTGATTCTACCTTCCGGTTTGTTCTCTTTCAGCCTGACTATTGAACCGATGTGGTCATCTCTATGATAAAGTGTGCTGGCTTCTTTCTAAGAACGTCCATGGTTAGAAGGCCAGAACAAGAAGTAAATAGGTATTAGGTCATCCTTAAGTACCTATGGCTCCAATATTAGACACAGAGACTGTACTATGAAAGGTCAAACCCTTTGCATGAGTAAGCCAGCCTTTTATGCGGCTCAAAGGCCTCTGAATCACTTTTTTGTTTTTTAAATCTCTGATAAACCATTTGCATCACTCACTGTAATTCTTTTTACTAGTTTTCTATTTCTCCATAACCTCAATTCTTAAGGTCTTTCTTAGCTTTTGAATATATCATTCCTTTGGCCGGCATCTTTAACTGAGCCTACCCATCAAATTCTTCTCCTGGACTTCTGCGAATACCTCATATAAATTAACGTTCAGGTCTCTTTGGTTTTCATTAGAGGTTGTATATGCACCCCCAACACCCGCTCCGCGCTCCTTTTGGCCTCAACTAAAAACTAGGTTCCTTGAGCAGTTTTTGTTTTTTTCTACATTGACTATTTTGACCATAGCAGTGTCTCGCACATTCACGTTATCAAACTCAAGAGTTCACCTATGAATGGGATAGAAAATACAGAGGATCCTAGCTCGTGGGTTGGTAACAAGGCATCTGTTTTCATTCTCTGGAGGTGAAGATTATCCTGAGTTATTTCCGTTCTCTGTGACAGGCAAACAGACTTGCTTAGGGACTGAGGACTGATGTCAGCAGTATTCTGCCATGCTTCCTTGTGTTACCTGCTGACATTAAACTGGACTAGTAGATACCAGTGATTGAAATACCAAAAAGGAAAACTAGTTCTACCGCATTTGTTTAGAACCATCACCACACTTCAGGTGTTGATTTATGTAGAGGCAAGAGCAACGGCACCTTAAAAAACCCCAATGTTTCCTTAGAAAACCAAATTTTCAGAAAACTCTATCTTTGTGGTATAAAACTTTCATTTCACATTATATACTCAACAACATTATTTTACAACTCATCATTACTTTATCTTCCAAGACTTATTATAGGTCTAACTTGTAATATTTACTTAAAACTGAAAAAAAAAAAAACAATTTCTATCAAGTAATCAAAAGGAGAAAAAATATTTTTTGACTATCCTTTAAGAGTGCTAACTGATACATTTTTCAGAATTTTCCTAACTTTAGAGTTTCCAAAGTTCAATATTTCCACGTCATCACAGGCCTGCAGATTAGTATTTGGATACTACAAAGAAACCTTTTTATAGTTCTGGCCACCTCAAAATCCTTTTTGCCTTAAACATGTATTTCTGTTAAACAGTCTAATCTTTGCACACTACTTTCCCAGTATTTAGCCTAGGACAAGTAGTTTATCAAGGGTGTTTGAAGAGCCTGACAAAGTCCAGGTTTGAGCACTTAACAATCTCTATACATTTTTTTTTTTTTTTTTTAGGCTACTTCCCTTGTCAAATAAAACCCCAACAGTAGTATCTGGCTCTCACACAGCCCCCAAGTGTTCTCGTGCTCGATAGACAGTATAGTTTGTGTAAATAACTCACCCTAACTAGCAATACTTACATGTTTACTTTTTCTTATCCCTAGCCCCAATTTTGTTTTGGTAAAGGACATCCATATAAACCGTCTGATTTTCCTTTCCCATATGTTAAATTTAATTGTCTATTACACTGCCATTTTGAGTTCTGAAATGAGAAATTCAGTACTTGTTTTTTAATCGATTGGAAACCACAATGGCACAGGAAAAGAGGTATACAACATACCAAGTAACTACTTATCATTCTCCTATATATTTTCAATTTAAAATCTAATTAAAGCCAAAATTGCTATTCACTGATTAGGAAAAACACCTTTCCAGGAACAGATGTAAAAATGCTTGCATGTACTGATAGCAACCTAGGAAGACTAGTACAAAGACCAGACTTTCCAAAGCAAAGCACAAACCTTATTTTTCAATAATACAGTGCTAACCAGATGAGTTGGGTTTCTAGGTTTTGGACACAAACTGATAGCTACTTGTCACAATGTGCTTTCTGTAGACCCTCAGTTGAGATTATGTTTGAAATTGTTAGTAATCAACAATTGCTATTTTCAGAGAATCTGAACCCAACCACCTCTGTGGAAAATTCAAGACCAGATTCAAAACAAGCTGGTCAGCCACTGTGTTGGCTTTTGGGGATGCTTACTGCTTATTTTCCCATTGGTGGAAATGCAGAAACTTTTGAAGTCAGGGCCTGTTCAGAAGTGGCCTCTAGAGGAGAGCCAATGAAGAATACAGCTTGGCCTACTCTGTAGCTCCCTGGTCCACTGTGACTTTCTGAGCCCTTGTCACATGCTCTTTTGGAACTCCACCATGCCTAGAAGGGAAACAAGCATCCCACACTTTCCCTTTGTTCCTGATTGGAATCATGGTCACAGTCATGCAGAAGTCATTTCTTCAGATACTCGGGGTATGTCGAGCAGCAGCAACAACTGTATGGGTAGCTGTATGGGTAGTCTCAAGAAACAAATCAATAAAATATCACCTTCAAAACTATCTTGGCAAGTCCACACATTAATGTAGGTAAGACATTTTAGTCATAATGGTCAACTTCTAAGTTCTATATCCTGCTTTCTTTTAATGTGATAAGACAAAACTAGAAGGCTTTTGACAATTCATTTTTTATTACATAGCAGACATATGAGTTAACCCAAGTAGGATGGTCACCTCCACTTTTAAACATGAATTATAGTTCTCTTTTCTCCAAAAGGTACTGGAATGGCATTTCAGATTACTTTGTGATTAGTTTAGGGCAAAGGAGAAACAGTATGAAGTTATTTCTCAGAAGCTAGTCATGACTTCCTTGTGAAGGTCATGAGGGTGATTGCCAGCACCACTTTAAGAACATTTATTATTACTAGATGATATGAAAGTAAGAGAAGAGTGGCCCCTAAGAATTTTCAGATTGTAAGGATGAAATAGCGTCCCAAAGGCTTTTGTGAACCTTAAGTTCTTGATAACTGCAAATATTTTCTGTGCATCCAGGAAATGTAAACAGTGCACTTCTAGTATGTGTTTGCCTCAACAGCAGGGACTGCTTTTAGCAGATGGAATATGGGATTTTACAAGTTTCTGGAAACACTGTCTTGACTGGCTAGTTGCCATTACAATGTTTAGAGAAATCTAAGGAGAATCCACTATTGCATTCCATTGTCAACCTTTTTTTTCATAAACCAAGGGAAACTTTATTATCCTCCTACAGGATTTGTGAGGCAGGAGGGGAAACACTCAACTTCAGTTTCGAGGTAGGTAAAATACATGACTCTCCAGGATGTAACATCTGTCTACCTTTATAGTTCATGTCATACTCCATTAGTGCCACAACAAACTAAGGGACATATAATCCCTAACATACAACTGTGGTTTTGCAAAACACTGCCAAGTTCAGCTTATTGCATGCTCTTCTATAAGTTCTACCCTCAATGAATCATCACTCTTCATTTTCTTCTAGAATCTTGGGATTATCTCAATAACAAGTGTCAGCACATTCTACTCCATATACATTAATCTTATCTTTCATATACATTATGAATAAAGAGAAAGTACTAATATTTTTTATTTTCAATGGTCACACACCATTTCAAATGTGTAAATGTTTCCTGAAATATATATTATTTATAAGTATTAAATATTGATCACAAATGGAGGCAAAGATTTGTTAGATTTTGTAAACATGGAAAAGTTAATTCATGAAAATATGTGTCATCCTATAATATGAGACTAATTTTATTATGAAGGTAAAGGACTTTATTATAAATTACACATTCTTACTAACCCGCGCAGGAAACATCTTGAATGGAAACATTTAAGGTAATTTCTGGCACAGACAGAAAAGATATTAGCAAGATACTGGACTAGAGTCTAAACTTTTAAAAAATATAAGATGAATTTGACCATCTTGCAAGACTACCTGGAAACAAGACATGTCCCTGCCCTGTCAATGACACAGATGAAACTCATCAGGAACTAAACACCAGTACAAAACAAAATTTGAGACATGGATTAAAGACTCCAGAGCCAGGTAGGTAGCTAGGGAGAACATCTGGACCTTGCTAACCCTGGGTCTCAGTGTCCCTCCTCCCATAAACTGTGTATTTATAGTATTTTTGCAGGGGCCAGCTGCCTAGAGTGCTTTATTGCTCCTCCACATGCCATCAAAACACATAGCTGAATATTCCATGGGCTTCAAACCCCTACACCACCCTGTGGCTTGGAAAATAGCAGTGTTTACACATACAAAATGCTAATTGCTTTTCTTTACAAATTTCTGTTCCCCTTTGTGTCTTTCCTACACTCCCAAGAGCCTGTACTTAAAAAGAGTAGGATGGCAGGGTTAGAAATAAGCTGCTGCACAGCTAATTGTTTTATGTTAGCACAGACAATACAAGTTAACTATGTCTTCCTCTCATTTCCACCTACACTGCCGAAATGTCAAATTAAATGGAACATTTTATTTTTATTGTCTCCTTTTTATGAAATGTGTGCTAACTTAAGAAAAAAAGTTGATAACACTTCTGGAAAATTTAGTTGGTAGCAGTGATGGACAACAGATGGCCACCCAGAAATCAGACCCTAAAAGGTGACTTACTGTGCATAAATATGCTGATGAGGGAATCCTACTTTTGGAAATTCTTGACCTAATATAAGGCCCAAGATACAGTTCAGAGTAGATTTACCACAATCTGATTTCCTGTCCAAAATAAAACAGACCAGCTTTAAGTAGCTACAGATATCCCAAAGATCTTTTTTGAAAACAAATAATTCCAAGAAAACACAGTAAGGCTTCCCTTGATGTTCCTCTACACTGCTTCAAGTGCTCTGTAATAGCTGTCGGCCAGCAAGCTTTGTGCCTGTTTGGGTGACATAATGATAGATACGATGCTTTAAAAGGCTTCAAGTCCAACACTTTCTTTCTATAACAAGTTCATTTCCAAGAAATGCAGCCTGAACCAGTATTTAATAAATGTTACGTGTAGCTAAGTGTTTTTAGGTAGATTTAATTCCTCTTAGCTTTGAAATAGTAATGAATTTCCAGCTGAACCTGCAGAAATGTTGAGCACAAACTTCTAAATGCCCTTTCATATGTATGCTTCAATCTGTGCCGTCTTTTCACATCCACATTACAAACTGCTCAAATTCTTGCTTCAGTGTCAAAGCTGAGAGATACAGACTACAGTATCCAGACTAAGCAGGTATGAGATGTGTTTATCACCTACAAACTCAGAAAAGAGATTCTAGCTGCGTAGCCTGCCTTTTAGTCCAAGCACTCAGGAGGCAGAGGCAGGCGGCATCTCTGTGAATTCAAGGCTAGTCTGGTATACAGAGTGAGTTCCAGGACGGGCTGCGAAGTTACAGAGAAACCCTGTCTCTAAAAAGCAAAAGAAAAAAAATCCACTTTAGGCTGACAGAAAATAAACCACATTTAAAGTGATGCATATTAAAAACACAACAAAAACCACATTTGCTATAACTACAATGAATGTTCTATTTGGAAAACTTGACACTAAAGAGAATTAAAACCTCGTTAAGTTTTTAGTCTATCATTGTTCTACTTGCTTTTTTCATTCTAAGAATGCTCTTTTTCAGAAGACAGAAGTTGTATCTTCAACCACAGTTGACCAGAAGCCTCAAACTCATATTAAAGAAATGCAAGGTTTTGTTTAAAATATTTTACATGTGTATTAATTTGCCAAGAATAGAGAGGTACTCTGGTTAGCAATCAAAATGGTTTAAATATGAATGCAATTCATAAGAACAGTAACAACAACAAATATAGAACAATTTTTCTCAAAAATAGGCCAGTCACTAGAATGTCTCATCCTGTGAAGACAATGTTTTCAAACTCTAGTGAAAGGAGCCTGTGGAATTCGCCTACCGTGTGTTCTATTTCATGCCCTCAGGAACCTTAGGAAAAGCAGTCCCGACACAACAGAATGACATTTGTATAGTATAATACTGGAGTGACAGAACTGAGGTCGACTGTTACATTCACATTCCTGTGTATTAAACTGTTACATCGTAATTATTTGTACAGCTCATTGGTCCAATAGCATAAAAAATAGAGAATAGCATCTTGAAATTTATCTCATTCCATGTTCAGAGATAAAAGGGTTAACCATTCTTCCCATTATTTTTTGGAGACATGTCCTTGTTTACAGAGTCTGATGGCAATAACAGCTAGTAGTTTCCAAAGCTACTGTATGAAGAGGATGCTGAAGGCCATCACTATACAGCACACGGCAACATAAGGACTCTTTCGTTCGCCTGTTGAAAAAAGGAAGACATTCATCTTGGTTGAATGAATGACTAATATGGATATGATAAGGTTACTACTGAGAAAGAGGAAAACAAGGAGCTAGAGGCAAATAAAACAAGCTCAATATGAACTGGATAACAAGGTGTGCTAAAACTGCAGCCCAATATAAGGCAATAACCTTACAAAAAACATTCTGATCATGTGTTGTGTCCATGTTAAGTGTTCATGCTACAGTGCACATGTAGAGGTTAGAGGACAACTTTGTAGTGGGCACTTTCTTTCCAACTTTCTATGAAGTCTGGATATTGAACTCCCATTATCAGGCAAGTGCTTCCTACTACTGAGCCATCTTGCTGGCCCATCATGAGATTTTATTTTGTTATTATTATTATTTTGTATCTCTTTATATTTTGCAAGTGTGAACTACATAAATGACAACGACACATTTCAATGTAAAAAGGCTGGGCATGGGGTTAGCTGCTAATCCACGTTATTTCTGATACTTGTATCTGAAAGTACCCATGCTGTGGCCTTGCAGAACGTAGATGAGAGCCAAGAAATGCTCTCAAGCAACTTAGTGCCAAAGGATAATTAGCTATCTTCTGAAGAAAAGGGAATGTCTACCTAAGGATTCTAATGAACAGCATTCAGCAATATCTTTACAGGATGGTACTAGTTCATGACACTTATTTGAGTTTAGACAGCACTCATTATGTGATGACCAGCATAGACAACATTATTCCATTAAAAAAAATAGGCATAAACTCTCCTATAGATGACGCTACTTCTGATACACTTATGGTACTGAGTCTTTTACAGTAAAGCATTCCTTATCCAAAAGGTTTAGGATGAGAAGTATTTCCATTTCGGAGATTTTGAAATACTTGACTAGATTTCATTGGTTGAGCATCCCTATAAGATTGGAAATTCTCTGAAGTCTGAAGTATTTTCAGTGTCATTTCTACTAACAATGTTTCTGCTATCTCAGTATTTTAGTAATTTAAATTAAAAGTAGACATTAAACACAATAACTTCTCTAATGAGTCAATTCCACATTCATCTAAGAATGTCTCTATTTGGAGACTTTCCTTTGCCTGATTTAGAACTAATATTGGCTTGTGAAAACATCTTGCTGGTATACAGACCCTGTAAAAGGAATTAAATTTATTTTAATTGTTTTTTGCTTTTTTAGTAACTGTAAGCTGTACTATTCAGAGAGTACCAGGCATAAAAAAGAAAGCAGCAGTCACGTGGAAATAGTTGAGGTACATCTGAGTTTATTGCAAATCGAGGAGATGGCTTTGACTAGCCTTCCTTAAGTTCTTGCATGATGTCTAAATTCCACTATCCTGAAATAAGATCCTTATTTACCTCAGATGCTCATTACCCGACTCTCATAAGTGTTAAACTTGACATCCCTCATTAACTAAAGTTCTCGAGGTCACTTTATGTTCAGAGCTACTTTGCTGAGCCCATGCTGATCTATTACTATGTTTATATATTTTTGTCTACTCAACGCCAACATCACAGAAAATGTCACATATATTAAAAAAGTAGACATTTAGCCAGGGTTTTTTGCCTATAATCCTCCAGGAAGATCACCCAATCAATGTGGTCCATTGAGACTGTCCTCAAATCTAAACCAAACCAAAAAAATTAAACCATACCAAAGCAAAACAACAACAAAAACCCCACAGAGTTGGTACTCCCTGTTTTTTTTTTTTTTTTAAATTACCTTTGCCCTTCCCCTTCTCTTTCAAACAGACATTTAATAGACTACCTTCTGTTAAAAGAAGATGTATAAAAAGGTGGTTTTAGAGTCACAATAATTTAACTAAGAAAATTTTAAAGCAGAACACACTGGTTTACAATGCTAATTTATTAGGGCTAAATCCCACAAAGCACCTCAGTAAATTTTAGGTGGACCCAATAAAAGCCTGGTATTCTTTTCAGGGCTGGTATATCCACTGCTTAGCACAGTCACAGTAAACACCCAAAGGGAATAATTATCCCTATACTGAGTTCTGCATCTGCTCAGTATTAATTCTTGAGGAAGTTCTTTTCTTTCTCATCTTATGACTTAGAGAATGCTATAATTTTACAGATGGGTTTCATTTTCATGTTTTTCATTTTCTTAAAAGAGACTGCCATGTGGTAGAGCTAAACATCTTAAGTTGAACTTGAATAAGAATGTTACTTCTTGTCAGGTTGTAGCTTTGTGCAAGTGAATGTAAAACAGTTGCTGCCTTGTGGTGTGTAACAAGATAAGATGCCCTGACTCTTTTTAAATCTCATCCATTCTGTGTGGATCTACTGTGTGTTAAGGACAGAGAGGAGCAGGTGCTTGAAAAAGTGTCTTGGTACCAGAGTTTCCAAAAGTAGCCTGCTAAAGTAGGGCAAATGCTTTGATTCTTGTAAGAAGGAACACTACTAAGAGAACCATTCAGAAGGGGGAAGGGTCATATAAATAAACGAGCAAGCAAAAAGAAAAGGAATTTATAACTAGACAGAAAACAGACCATATATGAGGATACCATTAAGACAGGTATATACTTCATGTCTGAAGCTTGCTATACCCCCTTCTAGGCATAATTATACACAAACAGGACACTTGGGTTGGCTACTAAACAGAATTGTCCACACATCTAACTACTACATAAAACGCCTGTATGTTGTTTGGGAGTTAGCAACTTTATAAGATGGAGATGAAAACTTAGCTCTTCAGTACCAGATCTCTGCTGTCTCTCCATGTAGTATACTCAGGTTCTTAACTACTTTGCTCTTGGCAATACTCTTGAATATATATATATATATATATATATATATATATATATATGTATTTTTTTTCTTTCTTTTTCAGGGTGACTTGACTCCTACGTAGTTTGGTTTACACTTATTGATGAGCGTTAGGTACTGAGGGTGCTAATCTTTTTCTTTTCTGGGTTCCTTTTGAAGTGTTCAAGACTTCTTCTGTTACTTTAGGTTTTGTAGCCATTATTTATTACTATACAAATCTATACAAATCTCTGTAAATCTAGGCAAGGCCTTTCCAATGCTTGTATCACTGGTATCTTAGACTGGGAATGGCCACCTATGCACTGTATGTTTAGGGAGATCAGCAACCTATACTCACTGTATTTTTTACAATAAAAAATTTGTTCCAGGTATGTCTAAATTTATGACACTGAAATACTACACTGTTATCTACAAAATTTATGCCTAAAGAGCACACAGTAAAGAAACAAAACACTCAAAAAGTTTTAAGTGATAGGATTGTGATGTAGGTTGACCACATATGCTAGAGTCCTAAATATCCCTGGAACAATAAACACTTATTTAGTTTACATATATTCTTTTGCTAATTTAAAGCCAATTACATTTGCTATAATAGAAAGATGTTCATGCTTATTTCCAAAGGAGAGAATAAAACATCATGAAGAATACACAGGAAGGAAAACTTCATGTTAAAAGCATAAGTAATTGTCAGGGGATAATGCTTAGTTTATATCACATCAGAATGATGACTTTGAACAAGGTATTTTTCTGTGAAATCCTTTGTCCTTCTCAATTATCCAGAAAACTTAGAAACTTATGGATAATTTAGCATCAGATGGATTATTTCTATTAGGAACTTGTCCAAGGGAAGAAGGAAGTTTTCTGAAAACCAGTTCAGTGACTAACAAAGGGTGTCTGAAAACTCTGTAGACCAATTTACATACACCTCAATTGTACCTAAGTATGTTATACTGGTTCCCAGGTCTTTAGAAAAATGTCTAAGTATTACTGAGTTTAGTTAATACTTTGAAACTTTGAACAACTTTGGTTCCTGTCACACACCATCTTCTAAGCTTCCTCCTTCTCTAAGAAGCTGAAAACAGAAACAAAACAGGAGAACCTGGGAACTAGGAACAGTTTCCTTCAGGAATGTAAATTGTAAATCCCTAATCCTAACTTATAATGGTTAAGTTTGGGGCATGTGGGCTGTTAATAAACTAGGTAAGATTGTTTTACATTAAGACATTAACAGTGTTTCAACAGAAGAAAGTAGTTACACATAAATTCAAGGCTAATAAAATATTAAAAGATGACATTTATATACATATAAATACATATGCATATATGTCATATAAATAATTCCAAAGGACAACACATTTCACTTTCAGTCTAAGTAGTCTAAATACACATGCCACAAAGTATTTTTTAATTAGACATTTTAAAACTAGTATGATCAATTATTAAAAACTACTAGTACTTTTGAATGGGATTTCATTTACTTACCAATTACTCTGAATTTATGTGAACAGTGTCAAATGGGAGGATAAAATAAGAATTTAACCTGATGTATCACAGGCATACTTAAAATGCATATAATCTTAATACTTCTATTTCATGTGAAGCTCATCCTTAGTTATCAAAATAGTATCAAACAAGAGGACTGGTGAGATGATTTAGTGTAAGTGGAGTGCTTAATTGGCCTAGATAATAAAGTCAGAGTCAGATATAGAGGGCAATGCTGAGAGATCAGAGAAGGAGCAAGCCAAGGCACACCTTATCTCATTAGCATCGCAGTAGACAATAGAGCAATTTCCTGTTTGTCCTTGCTTATATCCTGTTTCTGTCCAGCTACCTCACTTTCTGTCTGTCTGTAAATATTTCCAGATCTCTATGGTTAGGCAGTGGCAAGCTCCATTCTCTGACCCTCAGGCAGGCTTTATTTGTACAACCAAGATACACCACAAGTCACTGTGTATAGGTACATGCTGCCAAGCCTGCCTCCCCAGGAACTGCATGTTGGAAGGGGAAAAGTAACCATTACAATGAGTACTCTGAACTTCACATGTAACATTGTGACACGTGTACCCTTTCCCTTATACAAAACAAATTATAAGACATCTAACAAAAGCTTTGAAATCCTGATTTATAAATTAATAAAATAGCACACACAACCCAAAAGAGTGTGGTATAAACATGTACTATAGATACTGTCTGAATTTGCTGCAAGTCTAGAGACACATGGGACCTGATACCTGATTTCAATAGGTTAATTCATTTAGCTTCAAGTTCCTTATCACTTGCTAAAGCATAAAAGTTTCATGTTAGTTTAAATAGTAATTTTTGAGAAGATGATTCATGAAGATAGTTTTTAGATGTGTCTTTGTAATATACTATAAGATTTATTTCTTACATAATACAGCTCCGTGTTCCATTATCTTGGCATCTCTTTGTTAATAAAATATTGTGAAGTCCCCATTACATCTAGTTTTAAATAGTGGAAAGTAAAACAATTGGTAGAATTCTGTAAATTCTTACAAAATTACACAGTATCGAGAAGCCTACACTTGGAAAACTGACATCTAATTGTCATGTGCATAATATAAATAAAGTGGCTAGTAATTTATAGTTGAAGAAATGAATGGAGACTAGACACTTACCAATACGGGCACACTTCCAAAATATTCCCAATAGTCTACACAGGATAAAAAAAGAACAAAAACAAATCCTGATTACCAAGAAAGCCAGTTCATTCCTGTCAACATCACAGAGAACATTAATTCCACATACTAGATTTTAACATGTACTTGTTGGACATGAAGCCATCACTTACTTATATATGAAAACAGGATAGGATATGCCATGAACCACCACTGGACAGAAGCTGCCATTAACTGGACTATATGTGTGTCATATGTCAGAATTAGGGTAAGTTAATGTAGCTAAAATGTACACAAGGACTCACTGAATAATTCATTTAACTTCAAGTTCCCTATTACTTTCAAAAGGAGAAAAATTACATGTTAATTTAAGCAGTAATTGAGAAAACGATACATGAAGATAGTTTTTAGATGAGTTTTTGTAATATAATAGAAGATTTCTTTCTTACAGAATATAGCTCTATGTTTCATTAATCTATAATTGTGTGTGCATGTACTCTAGGGGCAGTCCTCACCTGTGCTAGTCAACAAGGAAATATGGATAACTATGAGGCTACAATTTTAAATGAAAACTATTAATTTAGGTAGAACTAAGCATGAGTTTACTAAATGTGACATTTAAAACACATATTCCAGGAATGTTCTTTTTAATTCCATGAATAAAACAACTATGAATTAAATATACACACATAAATGGACATAGCCCCTATTTGTAACACATAAAAAGCAACAGCTTTGTTAAAGCAAATAAGCCATCAACAGAGAAACTAAAAAAAAAAAAAAACAATCTCCCCGCCCCCCCCAAAAAAAACAGTACAGCTACTATTTTGCTGGCTTGAGATAATATTATACATATCTGTAACTATGTTCATCTATTTAAAATCATGTTTATAATTAAGAGTACTAATTAAGACAAATCAAACTTACTTATTCCTTATATGAAGACTGTCTCAATACAATTACAGAACTTAAATTTCAGGGGTATTTATATACATCTTTCTTCTAAGAAAGATGGTTAATGAGTCATCATATGTGAACAGGAAGCTCTAAACTACTGACCAGGCCAGATTGTACTTTAACTCAGCATACTTATTGCTTGGGACTGTGGGGATGCTCTTCATCACTTTAATAACAGTATCCACGCTTGGCGGACTTTATGAGGAGTTAATGATTATATAGTCTGTAGAACAGTAACATGTGCTGTGCATAGTAATGCTAGGACGAAAGGAACATGTGACAGTAACTCTAAGTTACTCATTCTTCACTGAAGAGTACAAAACTGAGGTCACCCATTCAAAGCCATGTGTGTTCAATTCTAGGCACCTATGGGTCACAGTAAACACTAATGATTTAAAGCTACCCTGGTTGAGTGAGTTGAAGGAGAAAGAGCAAGGTATCTGAAGCACCTTTATGGGAAACTCAGGACCCTGAACAGTTTGAAACCATTAGATCACAAAAGGCAAGTCTTTCCAGGCCCAGTATTCTAGAAATACGGAGATTTTTTAAAAAATCCTACCCTAGACTTAGGGTAGACCTATCAAGCAGCAGTGAGTTGTTTCTGTGAATTTCCTCAGACATGCTTCTGTTAACATCTAGCATACTGCTTATTTCATTTTTCTTGAAGGAACTTTGTTAGTTGCTAAAAACCACTACCACCTGTTGCTTAATTTCTATGGCTTGAATGTCTATGCCTCTGTTGATAGTGCTATTTGGTCTAGGAAACTAGGAAGAAGCAATCTTAGCAAACTAGCTAAAAAGCAGTCTTTCAGTGCAGCCCTGTACTAGATCACCTGAATCAGCCTTTAAAAAATGGAATTAAATTTAAATAGTGAAGTCTTCAAAAAATGCGTCACATCAGATATCCAGGTAACTCCAGCTAAGCATGGTAAATACAATGACAAATGTATTGTGAGTCTCAGAGAAAACTCATAAAGGAAAGAGAATCTAATAATTACTTTTACAGAAAAGTAGTTCTTATCTAATAATGAAGAAAAAAGTGTGTCTACTTACATACACAATTGACTCTACCAGCTTAATTTTGAAATGTAAAAACAGGAAAGCCTTTTGGAGGCCTTTAATGTAGGAGAAATATACTACTACTCAACCTCTACTGTAAGGCTGGTAGCCCTGAGAACTCCTTGATCAATGTAGCATGTTATGGATACATTCCTACTCCCAAGAAAAGAGGGGTGGACATGTCCACATGCAACTTCCCTTTGAATGAAAAATTTCATGGCAGCACTAGAAAAGTAAAAATACCCTATTCTAATAGTGACTACTTTTTAAGAACATACTCCTATTTTACTCTTACTTATTATATTACGATTCCAAATAACTGATTAAAGAGAATCATGCAAAATAGGAGCTCAAAGAGAGTGGGATGAGGAAAACCATGTCTACAAAGTTAATGGGGCACTGTCAAAATAATTGATGGATATTTACCATGTTTCACTTTCAGCCATATAAATTTTGATCTGTTTTTATTCAGTAGGTGAAATTTTAAGTCACACAAGATCATTTTTGAAATTTACTCATTAATTCAGTAAGATAACACAAATCTATTTTAGAGATTTAAAACAAAATGAAAATGTATAAAGTTACTCAAAACTAAGTTATAAATAGAATTAAACTGTCTAATGACTTTCAAGGTAATTTACATTCAATGTTGGTGAGAACTGACTTGACTGATATCATTAGTAACATACCCAGTTTTATTTCTGTCCAGGAGGCTGGGTGCCAGGGATCGGATATAAGCACACGTACATATAAGCAGCAAGATTACAGTCAACAGACTCTGAAAATTGAAAATGGCAGACTATAAAGAGAGAGAGAGAAAAAAAAACAAAAACAAATTAATATCGCAAGAGAAACTTCCTATCCAAAAATGCCAGACAATTCCACATTACAGGCAAACACAATGTTGTACAACATGTAAACCAGCATCATCAAGTCTCTTAAAGGTATACTTTCCTTCCATTCTTTAAGGTAAAGAATGCAGGAGTTGCAGTAGAAAATACAATTACACATGTGAATGTCATGGATTCCAAACATCTGAGCAAAGTGGACTCAGTACGTAACTAACACAGATGTTCAAGGCATACAGAGTTCTAGACAGAAAACAGTGTGGTCTTCATCCGCTGCCAGTGGCTGGCTCTCTGACCCCAGTGGATCACTGGGCTATTAGTCTTCATCTGGTATTTATAAACCTGGCAGAGCCAGGGAACGATTAAATACTGACTAAAGTTTCTTTCAACTTTTTGTCTGGGTCAAGAATGTTTAAAAATTATGAAATCATGTTCCAAGCCCTGACAAATACTAAGATTATTAGACATCGGTGAAAGCAAAGCATCTATCCACCTTCCCTTTTCAGCTATTATGTAATAGTTCCTTCTTCTATTGTAAAGTTATGATAGGAATCCTAAGAAATATTATTTAAATAGGCAAACAGGAAGTCATAGGTTTCAAGTGTAAATAAAGTAAGTGGAGTTTGGCTCATTCTATTCAGCATTCAGGTCTACTCCAGGAGCAACAAGCACCCTTAACTTCTGTGTCCTCTTTCTAGGTTCTCGGCTCAGCTTGCCAGGAAGTCTCCAGGCATCACCTGTCCTCTCTTGGTGTATTTCACACACAGTTCTTTTAAGGGTTTAGGCTATTCTTCAACCAGAGATCCTTCTGCCTTTGACTCTCCAGTGCTGGGATTACAGATGCACAGCCATGCTTTCCCCTAGGAATTGCCTCGCTGCCTCACCTAGCAAATGGCATTCCATTAAAAAAGTCACTCCTGAAGCTGAACACTTCACTATCAGACTGTCAGTCTCTAACACCTGGGCCATGGTTGAAGTACAGGGCAAACCCAAAGAAGAGATGTTTCACTCAAAATACTTTTAAGAAGTTGCAAGAACATCACATTAGGCACTTGCATTAGTAGGCACACAAAATACATCATTTCCACTCAGCAGTCAACAGTATGCCTATTTAGTAAGTTTAGAAGTAAAATTACTTCCTCCTCCTCTTCTTTCTTTCCTTTTTTTTTTTTTTTTTTGAGACAGGGTTTCTTTGTGTAATGGCTCTGGCTATCCTGGAACTCTCTTTGTAGACCAGGCTAGTCTCGAACTCACAGAATCTGCCTTCCAAGTACTGGGATTAACGGTGTGTACCATCACTACTTTGCTAGATTTCTTAAAAACCAGGAGGAATGTTATAATTATTTTTGAAACATAAAATTGCTACTTACAAATGAGGTTTACTTGAAAATCTCAGAAGCTAGTGAAAGGTGCTATAAACTTCAAGGGAATTAAGTGAGGCAAGAGGAGTACATGCTCAAAACATACACATCAATAACCTTTGGAATTGTATTATTAATAAAATGAAAGATGAAACAGGAAAAACAAAGGACTATACAGATAGGAACTAGAAAAAACCCTTCATATTTCTAAAGTTTAAAAGAAATGCCCTCCATTAAGAACAAAGGAAACATCTTAGGAGGAAAAGGAAGGAGGGGGAAAAAGAAACCAAACCCAAACAATCACCTCAACACACATAGAATACCACTTGGTAGAATTAGGATAGACTAAGATCTCAGTTCTGAAGGTCACGTGTAAAATGAATTTAACAGCAACACATTTCTTATGAAACACAGGATAATTTTAAGAAAAAAAAACTCTGTTAGGCATTATTAAAATGATTTTTACATATTTTTATAAATAAAGCATTACTAAAAAAATGTAAGGATTGAACATTACTTACCAACAGTGTTTCCTGTGTGAAAATTTATGGATTTGTATTTGCATGCATTTGTGGAAGTGAGAGGCTGAAAGTTCAGCATCTTCCTGCCACTGTCCACCTTTGTTTTTAAGGCAAGATCTCTGATGAAACTTGGACTTTGCTAATTCAGCTAAACTGGATGGAGAGCAAGTTTCTGAGACTCTCCTGTCTTTGCCTTCCCAGCCATGGGATTATAGACACAGGGGGTTGAATTCAGGTTCTCATGCCCTTTTGTTAATCTACTAACTGAGCCATTTCTCTAAGCCCCACTTACTAATATAATTAGTGACAAAAATGCTATATACAAATTACAGTAAGTATTGGGCAGGTAGGATATAAGATCTGCACACAAGCATAGTTTTAGCTCTGTAAACAATGATGCAAAAGTGGGAGAATAAAGATGACTGTGGGTGGATTTTATTACCAAGAGTTAGTTTTTAAAATAATTCATTTTATGTGCATTGGAGTTACAGACAGTAGTGAGCTTCTAGGTGGGTGCTGGGAATTGAACCTGGGTCCACTGGAAGAGCATCCAGTGATCTTAACTGCCGAGCCATCTCTTCAGTCCCTACCTGGTATTCATTTACACTATTATCTTCATATCCAACATAGTTCTTATAATATTTATGTAATAGATGACACACACAATTATCCATTAGAAGACAGATACTTTAAAAACAACACATTAATATATTGTAGCACCTGTAAGAGATGGCCTGGAACCCTGGGGATCAAGACAGGTTTTCAAAAGGAAAAGCTTTAGTAAGAAAGCAAATACATGTCAATCCACAAATGACTTCATTTACAAGGACCAGAAGAGACAACATGGCAGTGTGTCTGTGTGTGTGGGGGGAGATAGCTAAGAAATTTTAGAAATAACTAACAGACTTATATTACACAAAGGATTCCAGTGGTAAAATGGTTAGCTTTACAAAGTAGGTTTACTATTTTCCTAACAGGGTATGAATTAAAGATTTTATAATGTATTCTTTTTTCCCCCCTCCCTGAATGCCTTTGAAAACATGCTTAATGCCAAGATACCCAAGTTGGCCTCTCACTGTGTACATGTGCATGCAGGGGAAAGTGGGGTTGTCCATGAAATACTGAGTATACAAAAGCTCATCTTACCCTCCTTTCTACCTTCCTGTGTCTGAAGTTTTTCATAATAAAAGATAAAATGACCCTCACCATCATGCCTATCATTAAGTGGAATGTGTATAGATACATTTGTGTGTGTACAATCATTTATAAATGAAAGCTGTTTACATGTACAAAATATATGATATATACAACTTTGTTCTGGTGTTTAAGAACCCTGTATTTTAAACACATGATTTTAAATGATAAAGTGTTTCAGGTGTACTTAGACTCTGGTCAAAGAGTGTTTTCTAAGTTATGGCCATCAGTCTGTCACCTGTAACATTTTTCCCAGTGCTTATAGTATCTGCTGTCTACTGATACAAACTTAGTCTCTGGGTTAAGAGAAACAGATGTCTTTATTTAGTAGAAAAATAAAGACTTTCCACTGAAAATGTTAATGAGGGAAGAATGGAAGCACATGATAACAAAATAGAAAGATATAAATTTAATTAGCAATACTGAGAAAAACAAATGTGGATTAGACCATGGACTACACTATTTTGTTAATTATGCAAGAGAAGTCTACAAACTGTTGTAAGTTTGTATTTAATTGTCAAAGACATTTCGGAAAAATAAGCAGAGACAAAAAAACTCTTGATTATGTGAAAAGCCTAGGCTGTGAAGATCCAAGGTAATTTCTGCCTAGGACTCACATCTATCACTTCCTGCAACTCTAGTGTCCTATGAAGAGCACAACCTTGAAGGTGCTCACACTTTGAACAGGGTGTATTATTCTAACTCACTCTAAGACATACAGTATACACATTTTCAAGAGGTCTGTACAGCTGAGTGGGTAAACTTGCTACATGAAAACTCCAGATACTCAACTATTCTCAATTTAAAATAGTAATTATAAGACATGCTAATTAGGAAGAGGTCACAGATATATATATATATTCTTGTGTTCTAATTTGATAACTACTAACTTGTTTTGGTCTTTTTACGTTTTAAAATCCATGGGTAATATAAGTGAATTTAGATAGCTACAGGTATCAAAACAAAATACAAAACCCTTTACTGGGTTCTGATCGCTGTTCATCATTCCTAGAGTAGTGGTTATCAACCTTCCTAATGCTGATTTCCTTTAATACACTTCCCCATGTTGTGGTGACCACCCAAGCATAAAATTATTTTCATTGTTACTGTTACTGATGATAATGTAAATATCTGCTATCTGATGTAACCCTTAAGGGGGTCAAGACCCACAGGTTGAGAACCACTGCCCTAGAGTAAATAGAAGATGATTACTGTTATTTTTACATGTAAAAAGACTCTAGCTTCTTTTCCACACACAAACATGTCTGCTCAGATTTTGTTTTTAATGGGATGCTGCCACAAAGAACAACTTAGAACTAACATTTCCCATGTAAGTTCTTCATTCTTTATAGCAGTTTAGGGTAGTGCCACATTTATTATCTATATTTTAATTTCTTACCTATAAAAAAGAATACTTTGCTAACCCTCTGATAGGTACACCATCTCCAAAATGTCACTCTTCTAAGTGATGTGCAATAACTGCACTAAACTTCTAAGTGATGATCAATGACTATACTCAACTATTCCTGAATAGGTGCAGATATTCTCTAATAGGTTGGCGGTAAGTATCAAAAATGTTGGGTCAAAAGCAACTTATGCACCATATTCTGGTAAGTTCTACTGACCTGCATTCTACAAAGGTTGAACAAATGTGTGTTTTCTAAAAATTCCATGACAAAATGTGGACAGCTCACAAGTTTTAGATTAAATTGTGGAAGATGATGCCCCCAATGAAATATTAGGCTCCTACTCTACTAAAACTACTACAAATTTAGGGGCTTAAACCAATACAAATTTATTACTACCTTGTATTTCTAAATCGCTCTACACACTTGTGACATTTGACACATAAGTCACTATTTCTGTGGCTATGAT